CGGGGGGAGAGCGAGACACGTCTAAAAATCTTTTTTTCTGTCTGACATACAGACCAGAGCAGATCTTAGAATCTGTAAACTTCACTGCTCAGAGGTCCAGAAGAAGTTTTTAGACTGGGTATCAAAGCTTTATAAAACTTGGCATGACTTCTTTACCTCGAATCTGGTCATCTGGCACTATTTACAAAGCACTATGTACGTGGCAGTCAGCCAGTGTAATCCACCCTTATCTATTGTTTTGAATCAAAGAAGTATTACTCGAACCCCTAAACTGCAAGCGAGCTCTAATTGAGAATGTGAAAAGAACATTGCTATTCCGCGTACCTTGATTGAGCTAACGCAAGGCACGCCCGTCTGAAAATAAATAAAATGAATTTGATAGAAGAGCTCCTTCTTCGAAAATAGCTAAATAATCGTACTTATTTGCCTAAGCTCTAAATTTTTCTACAGACTTCGTTACAACCCGGAAGAGATAAAATGCGAAATAACTCGACAATACAGTGAGTGGGAACTTGCATTCTTTCATAAGTTTTGAGCACGACATGGCTAATTATAGAGAGATTTCGTTATTTGGTTATCCCAGTTGAGCAGTTTTTTTTTTTGGAAATCGCACTTCAGCAGCAGCAGCTTGGGCTTGAAGAAATTTATAATGGGCACGACACTACTGGAGGAAAAGAAAGAAATGAAAGATGGAATTCCGACGGTAGAGTCTTCCCTTTTGAGGTCTATTGGTTTGAATAGGTTTTCAATATTTTTTCACACCTCGAACACTGTTAACAGAGGAGCAGTATACTCATTGCTGCGGAGCATGCTTTTTTTCGGCTTTTCCCAAGCTGACTTCATTCATAAAGTAAATCGAGTTTCTTCGTAATTAAAATCGTGAGTTACAGCCAAATTTGGGAAAGTTTGATAAGGTTTCTGTTTCAATGTGGTGCGCGATATACCTTTTATTTGCATTGAAACATATTAAAGATGGAGTATTCTTGTCTATCCAGACCATGGTAACCCATCTAGCGTAGCCGCTGTTTCTTGTTTCACTGAACTATATCAAAGTCCCGATACATCTCGCACAGCTCATCGTCGTGTTTCGGATGCGTAGAAGTTTTCACTCGAAAATTCCTGAAGTCGAATTATCAGGTGTTTCCACTGTCCATGTAGAGTTTGGCCTTTGTTTTCCGAGAGAGGAGATCATCCAGATGTTACTATCATTGGGGAACGTCAGCAGCTGTATACTCATATAGAAAATTGTATTTTCCCTAATCAGCTCAAAAGCTCCCATTATTGTCTTCAGCATTAAATTGAAGACGTCACATTATAAAGAATCCCGTTTGTCGGAAAACTCGTTTTTGGTAACGAATGGCTCGAAGAGCTCCGTTTCAATCCTGACGAAAGCTGTTGTTGTTGTAACCGCAGAAATATTCCCCAAAGTACTGTTTGGGGAATGTTGCGGGAGTGACAGTCCTTGGCTGTATAATCGTTCCGGTATAAAGATCCGGTTGGATTTTAGTCGCCTCTTACGACAGGCATGCCTTACCGCAGGTAAATTCTTGAACGCCTAACCCACAGGGGAGCCTGACAAAAGCTGACAAGGACTGCTTTAAAAGTGTCGAAGAGATAAAGTGCCGTTCCCGGGGGTTTTCAAGATTTGTCAAATGGTGAATGTCTTCTCAATGATGGATTTACTAGGTCTTAAGCCACACTGATGAGGTCCAATCAGTTTGCTTACGGTAGCAGATAGTGGAATCCCAATTATTGTGGCTTAGGCAGAGTAGGTTCCAATCAACAGGCATGCTTTTACCATAATTTGGAAAGAAGATGATGTTCTTTGCTGCTATCGCTTCCGTTTTATTGAATTTCAAGCGGGCAATTGCTGTGCGAACATCCTCTTAAACGGGTAATGAAACTTTGTTACACCGTTATCAATTGGGTAAACAGGTTCGCCATCTCCTGGTGTGCCATTTTCACTGACATTCAGCAGGCGAGAGAAATGTTTCTTCCATAAATTTAGTACCTCCCCTTAGGATTATACAAAGGCTTTCTCCGGTTTTAAAACCCGCTGTTAGTCGACGTATATATATTTTCGAACATTTCTCCTGACTGCAGCTACGCATACTCAATCATCTCAGAATCTCAATTCTCTTCTCTCTTCAGTTCAATAAACTCTAGTAGGAAATTAGTTCTTCAGGGTAGTAATGGAAATCTCGCAGCTATAACATTCCTAATTTCTTTAGCCTCTAGTGTAAAGAAAAAATCTATTAATCTACGTTGCATACTTTTAGGTAAATTTTCTCAGTTTAAATTGCTTTTGGTGTGTAACACTTTTTTTTAAATCTTTACCAAATTTTTATTAATAATATGCAATTAAATGTCAACTGATCTTTTAGAATTGAATAAATTGTGCCTAAAATATTCACCATAGCAATTTACAACAAATTATCAGTAAACTATCAACATAAAAGGTTAATATTAAATAAACTGTTATTTAAAAAGTACTTTTATTATATTCATACTCCCTCGTGCTCGTTTTTGTTTATGTTGCTGGTATTAAATGTCGAGGGATATCACACAATCAATCAATTGCTTACCCACGTCCCTATTCACTCGTATGCATATATATAAATATATATATATATATATATATATATATATTGTTCTATTCACTACTAAAGTGGTAAATAATTGGACAAATTCAGCCCATAATTATTTTTACTTCTTTTCTACACTTAATTTGCTATTCTAATAATAATATTCTTTAAATCACTTATTAGATTAACGGTATTTTAAGGGTAGTTCGTAATTGGTTATGGTGTTTAGCGAAGGGTGCTACCCTTAATTTTCTGCAAATAACTCGATTACTATATGTCGTGTGTATGACACAAGCCACATATGTATGTAATTTTGTGGGCGTGGCAGATTTAATGTTGTTTGATCTAAATTGTTACAAATGTGAGTATATTTATAGGTAGAAATTGTGTGCATATTTGACAGACAAATTAAATAGAATAAAATAAAATAAAATAAAATAAAATAAAATAAAACAAAATAAAATAAAATAAAATAAAATAAAATTTAAACAAAAAAATTTAAAGACAAAAAAAAGTCAAAAGAAATTATTAGAAATTGAATTCCGCTGAGATTTCATTACTGATCAATTATTAATAAGTAAGTAACTCTATGTCGAAGCATAGGTTACGTAAGGCTGAAGGTCGATGTTGCTGACCATCAGCTGACTTAGGCTACGAGGTGGTGACAAAGCATCGTATTTTTGAACCCACCATTTCGCTGAAATCTCAAGGTTGTCGGCCTTGAAGCTGACCCCTCATTGGTCAGCACATTTCTGGATTATTCACGAATTCTTGGAAAGCAACTCACGTCAGTTCGGATATGATTTCTTTTAATTTGAGTCTGAATCCCTACCCATTCCCCCGGTTGTTCTTATATTCATTGGCTTGTTCTTCGTGTTCGCGAAGCCTGCACAGTGGCTTCGCTAGTATATGCATTCCTGAGACAACTTCACCAGAGCCTGGAAGGGTACATTTCTTACCCCGTCGCCATTGACTTTTTTTTACAATATCTCTGTTGTCGTTGAATGACTTAAAAAAAAGACCCAGTCATACAATGGTCTCAGAGTTTCTCAACTTTTGCTCTTTTGGGCTTCTCAGCAGAGTGTCGATCTTTGGCCAGTGTTGGTTTTGGTATTGATTTTCGATTTTTGTTTCCTTAAATCGCTAAAAGTACACGAGTAACAGATAGCAGAGACCCACATTATTCGGATTAGGCAATGAGTGTTTCCTGGTTCGACCCGCGATCAAGAACAATTTCCATAAAACGGAGCTATAGAGCATATCCACAGAGCACTGTTTCCTTATCTTAGCTACGTACACTTGACATACGACTGATTTTGTTACCTGAGTGCTTATCCCAAGAACCTATCTTAACCTTGCAGCACTTGAAAGAAATTCCTGAGGTCGTTAACGGCGGCACCTTAGATAATTATGAAGAACAAATAAATCGGAACACCTATTTGAACAACGCGGACAAGTGGTCGCGAGATCTCTCAAAACACCCCTCAGCAAGAGGAAGGAACAAATACTGTACCGCGAGATTCTGAAATCGCCAAAACATTACCTACACAGCGGGCAAGTCTTAGTTCCTGAGGAATGCCGCAATGAAACGTGTTCAGCCAGCATTCGCTGGAATGCTTCTGTAGAGATCATCACAGCAGCTATTTACTTGCAATATAACCATTTCCAAAGAACTTACAGACTCCGCAGAGCTGTACTACTTGAGACTGTGGGACGCTCCCAACAATAGGACTTAAATGCATAGCCGTCTTTGCGTGGGTAGGTGTATTCAAGCAGCAACTATCACAATCTCAGCACAGCTAACGCCTGGAGACTACGCCATACTCAGTCCCCGTCTGACGGTAACTATTTTCTTCTTCACCTCGTCGAAAGCTTTCGAATCGGCACGTTTTCTGGTACTCCCTTTGGATAATCTCCGTGACCTTACCAGGGGTTTTGATTTTGAATGGTTCAGTACGGTTGGGGCACCCTGTCCCCGTCGAACGGTTACTACTTCTTCCCTTCGTCGAAAGCTTTCGAATCGGCACGTTTTCTGGTACTCCCTTTGGATAATCTCCGTGACCTTACCAGGGGTTTTGGTTTTGAATGGTTCTGTACGGTTGGGGCACCCTGCCACGGTAATTCTAAGTATTTTTGTGTGTATCTACACTCACATATGCATTCATATGCACATTTGAAGAATGATTTTTTGATTGTGTACTCAAATGTTGCAAAACAAGCTTCTATTAATAAAGAATATTCAATATTTACAAAGCGTTTTTGTAAGCCAATCTTCGAAATAAGCAAGTACATACATATTTATATGTTCACAGTTGCTTTTAATCGCTATTGGTCTGGGCTATAAAATAGAAGGTGAGTGGCAGGAAACTCGACATTTTCAGTAAAAAATTATTTTATTTAGATTAGCGAAAAGAAATGAGACTGTTAACATTGTTGCTGTGCCTTGCTGTGATCGTTCTGGTCTGTAACGGTATGTTATAATATTACAGTTATTATGTAGTCTGAAAAGTGCTCAATAAGTGTCCAACTCTTTAGCGGTGCCATCTAAAAGACGGCAAGCAAAAAGCGTTGCACGATCGCAGAGCCGTTCGGTACGTCCTTCCCGATCGGTAGGTAATGGAAAGAAACTAGCTGGAACCAAAGCGCAAGCTCGTTCAAAGAGAAACAGCAATCAGAAGAGTGGCAAAGCAGTTGGAGCCAATAAAAGTCGTCAATCACAGAAGAGGTAAGTAAGGTCAAGTAAGTTGAGAAATATGTATACACTAAAGGCATATCGGTAGATCTCGTGGCGGATCGTCTAATAAACTTAGCAACGTTGGTAGTGGCCGAAATCGAGCAGCTAGTGTTGGTAAAAACAAATCGCGTAACAAAACAGCGAATAGAAACCGAAATAAGAACAGAAGTGTTCAGGGCAATGGCAATGCAGCTTCATCGTCAGGAATTCCCGGCAACAGCCTGCTAACCGATGAAGTACCTGCGGAAGAATTAAATTATAACGATTTAGGGGATGATTCATTAGATGCGGAGGAACCATCAACACAGACCGATGGTGGTGAAGGTGATGAGGACTTTGATGAGTTGAATGAAGATGAGGCAACAGCTGCACTGGCAAACGCTAATGCTGACAAGTCAAATGAGAGCGGCAGTGGTGATGCGTTGGATGAGAACACTGCATACGGCGATAATGAAAACCCACCAAGTGGGAATGAACCGGTTGATAATGGAACAATTACCAATAAAGAGATGAGTAGGGACGATGAGTCCGATGATGATAGTAGTGAATATAATAAAGCAGACGATGTGGGATCAGATGCGCAAGGCGAAGCTGGTAAAGATGCATCACATTATGATGGGCAAAAAGATGAGCATGCAAGTATTGGAGATGAGCAGGAAGTCAAAGTTGTTGATGAGCAGGATCTGGAAGGTACTGCACAAAACAAGGAGTCCGCAGAAAATGAGTCGCCAGCTGAGAAATCAACTGAGGATTTAGTGGGAGAAGATGAAGATGACTCCGATGATATAGAGCAGGATTATGTTGATGAAGACTATAGTTACTAATTTATAATATGTATTTGAAGCAGGAAGAGAAGAAATTTTTAATATTTATAAAACAAAAAAAATATACATCACATATATATTAGTTTATTTAAGTCCCGATTGCGTTGCCAATGCTCTTTTGGCAAATCCACAAAAATCTTTGCATCGTACAGATAAAAATAAAAATAAAATAAAATAAAATAAAATAAAATAAAATAAAATAAAATAAAATAAAATAAAATAAAATAAAATAAAATAAAATAAAATAAAATAAAATAAAATAAAATAAAATAAAATAAAATAAAATAAAATAAAATAAAATAAAATAAAATAACTTAAAAATTATTAAATCGGTTCCCCAAGAGAAGAAGAAGACAGAACTTTTTAGGCACCACGCTTATACATTTGTAAATAACAATAGATTTCGTTTTCTGCCTAAGAGCCGATTCTCTACCCTCACATATGTTTTGGTATTTGCCCACAGAGTTCAAGGGCATGCAAATAACTTGATTAACAAAAATTATATTGATTGAAAAAAGTACTTATATGTACATAGATACATACACATTTGCCCAAAATACTGCTTTGGCTAAATTAAACAAATTCGAAAGCATATAAGAACCCAACCGTGAATTTCCAAGCGCGCATTCAGTTACAGCAACAGTAAGAGAAACAAAATCGAAAATAAAATTCAATAGAAGTTTAAAGTGTGTAGTAATACTTTTGATAATTTGGGCAATGGTAATTATTACTGAATAGATATGTATGTATATATGTAGGTGCATTTGTGTTCAAAATTAAAAGAAAAAATGTATTTTTCAACACTTTTCTTACGCCATACAAATTTACAGTAACTCATCGTCATATGACAACTGAGGTCTCCCAACCATCTAGGTTCTTCACTCCGATACAAAAAGCTTACATGACGCATCAACAAAATTACGAAAACAAATCCATGGAGAAAAATAGTGAAATGGACCAAGGCGCAGTGACGCTGAAAAGTGATACGAACGTGGACGAAGGCAACTCAACCATCTCTTCTACTAAGCTTACTTAAAAATATTTAATGGACTTGAGAATGTGGCGAGTTCGTATAAAGAGAAGGAGTAACCGGAAACGGTATCTAAATATATATTATAGCTTGTAATGACTCTTTTGTAATTGTGTCCAAACTGACTGATTGCTTTTAGATATACGAAACCAAGGAAATAGTTAAACCGGAATAGAAACATCGCTGTTAATAGAGAACTGGTCGAGTGAGTCACTCTTTGCCGCAAATGAATTAAAAGCTCCTTTCAAAATCCATCACAATATAAGTTTAAAGCAGACTTGTCCATAACCACACTTTTTAAAGTTTGTTTTGACAAATATTACTTTGTTTTATTAATAAATAACTGACAATAATTAGATCTGTTTAGCTGTTGACAGCAGTCTTATCCGATTACTTCTCCACTTTAAATAGAAGATCCCCCACCGGACTCATTCAAACCAGAATCGGATTCACTTGTTGTCTCTGCTGCACCAACATTCGAAGTCTCGTTTTCTCTCATCGTTATGCCTCATCAGTTGCATTACTTGTCACTGCTTCAGGTGTAGTTGAGTCTTCCTGTAAGACGGTCGTCTCACCTTCGGGCGTAGTTGCCTCATCAGTTGAATTATTTGTCACTACTTCAGGGGTAGTTGAGTCTTCTTGTGAGATGGTCGTCTCACCTCCGGGAGTAGTTGCCTCATCAGTTGCATTACTTGTCACTGCTTCAGGTGTAGTTGAGTCTTCTTGTGAGTTGGTCGTCTCACCTCCGGGCGTAGTTGCCTCAGCAGTTGAATTACTAGTCACTGCTTCAGGTGTAGTTGAGTCTTCTTGTGAGATGGTCGTCTCACCTCCGGGCGTAGTTGCCTCATCAGTTGCATTACTTGTCACTACTTCAGGGGTAGTTGAGTCTTCTTGTGAGATGGTAGTCTCATCTCCGGGCGTTGTTGCCTCATCAGTTGAATTATTTGTCACTACTTCAGGGGTAGTTGAGTCTTCTTGTGAGATGGTCGTCTCACCTCCGGGCGTAGTTGCCTCATCAGTTGAATTACTTGTCACTACTTCAGGAGTAGTTGAATCTTCTTGTGAGATGGTCGTTTCACCTTCGGCAGTAGTTGCCTCATCAGTTGAATTACTTGTCACTACTTCAGGGGTAGTGGAGTCTTCTTGTAAAACAGTTGTATCACCACCAAGCTTGGTCAACTCTTTAGTTAAGTCTCCTGCCTGCACTTCAGGGGTAGGTGATTCTTCGTTTAAGACGGTTGCACCACCTCCAAGCGTAGCTGGCTCTTCAGTTGAATCTGTTTCCTGCACTTTAGGGGTAGTCGATGCTTCTTGTAATACTCCAGGCGTAGTTGATCCACCACCTTCGCCGTCACTGAGCTTGAGTGAAGAAATCAGTCTCTCAAGCAGCGAAAGTAGTTTATGGAAGAAGCCAAAATGTGCAGGAACCGGATTAATGATTTGTTCAACAGGATTCTGTTTGAAAGCGATACCGCTATCAACGGGTACGTCGTCGTCGTTTCTGATACTAACGGGTTTTTGCTTTATATCACTCAGTTTATTGTCGAATCTGTCTCCGAGCTTTGGTATAAGACCACCAAAACTGCTACCTTTGGTGCGAGAATTGTGAAAAAATTAAAAGAAGTTCTTACTGAGATGTCTCCTCTCCTTCTATCACTTACCCATACATGAAATGGCAACGAGTGCAAATAAAGTTATAACGGTGTAGAATCTCATATTTTTTTAGTTGTTTTGTCTTATCTAACAACGTGTTTTGCTTGGAAGCTTGGAAGCTTGTAAGCATCTGCTGAAGGCCATGACAGCGTGAAGACTTTTATATCAGAAGAGTGAAGAAGAAGCACGATAGTTTTAAGTAAATAGAATGGAAAATGTTTCGAATTTGCGTCAGTTGGTTACAGCTGTTATAACGATTTGGTAAAAAATAACAATAAAAACTAAAAATATTTAGTTTTGTATAAAAAATAAATAAACAAAATAACAACAATAATAGTAAGGCAATGAACTTTGAAAGACAACCTCTTCTGCACCCACCACAGGCAAAGTTTGTAATCTGCGTTCTGTTACCACTTGAGGAAGGCTGTGCCTCGGGCCTTAGTACCAGTTCCTCCATTATCGGTATCTCGGAAATTAATTGAGGGTCAGTCTGTTTAGGAACAATGAGAGAATTATTATGACATTGTCCAGCGAAGAGTTTGCGTTTCTTTGGAATTATGACTTTCTGTATAAGGACCACAGGGTTAAAATGTGGACGCCAACCCTTGGTTATAGAGAAAGAGAAAGAGATAGAGAGAGAGAGAGAGAGAGAGAGAGAGAGAGAGAGAGAGAAAGAGAAAGAGAGGGAGATAGAGAGAGAAAGAGAGAGAAAGAGAGAGAGAGAGTTAATTTCAGTTGCTAACTTGAAATGGAAGAATCTCAAATGTAGCCAGATGCCCTCGAAAATGTGGCTGGCATGGGATAAAGGAAGGTAATGAGAGCTTATCACGTGAAAAAGAAAGAAAATATTTACAAGTATGCGTCTTCTTATGGGATATTCTCTATTGGACAGACACGTAGAGAGGCAAAGCGTACCATCAAACGAGATGGAATTTGAGAAGGGGGAAAACCCTGAAACCTGAATGTGAGGTGTATATTAAAGTCTCTAATTTAAAAACATTTGCTAGGGCAACGCGTGATTGTTACATTATGGGAGCTATGGTAGTTGCCTGAGCTGAGCCATGCGGCGAGCTCCTTTGGACCATGAAGTTCTGAGGATGGTTAACCACAGTGGCTAAGAGCGTAGAAGGCACAGCTGTGAAGGCTTCGGACACAACTGAGTGCCTGAACAGGTGTTAAATCGACGCCAGCCATTGTACTGATTGCAACTAATTGAGATTAAAGTATGGTGGAGTTGCCTAGACAACCGAAATAATCTGTAGTACCAGTGTTGGGTGCAACGCCAGCCACGATGAGAAGGAGCTGAAGCAACACTAAAGCGATGTGTTGTTCCGTTGTAGTACTTCGTGTAGAAATAACTGATGACCTGCACGAGGTTCGAAGTCGCCGAAAGCGCGATCATGGGTCGGCCGTCGTGAGAGGCTAACTGAGAGTGGCTTACTAGAATTGCCATTCGGAGGCCAAAAGACGTCAAACGTTAAGCAACATTTTTTTATGACCTATGAAAAACATCTCACTTTACCAAGCCCTTTTCGATTTGAGGCTTACAGATGCACATACATACATAAAATATTAGTTATTAAATTTTTTTTTAACTTTATTTTCACCTTTGGACTATTAATAGCACTCAAAATAAAAACTATAAATAAAAACTATTCTTTACCCGTAAAAAAATACTTGGACCAATCGGTGGTTCCATAAATTTTATAGCAAATAAATTTTCAAAATATTTATTGTTCGAGAAAAAAATATTTGATTAATCACAAACTCGAAATAATATTTATTATAACAGTTTTTTTTTGTTTGCTAAAAATTATTGAATTTTTTTTTTTTTTTTTTTTTTTATACAAATATTTTTGTTTTTCCAAGCCCGTCATAACAACTGTAAGTATAGTTGTCGTATGTAATTGAGAGAAATCTTTCGCAAACAAAAATTTAAAATTTTCCCCACAAATTTTAGTATAAAAGTGTTCCCGGTGTCATGTCCTCCATCAATAACTAACAGACGTTCGAGAAAAGAAGATAATTTGGAGCGCAAAAAAAAAAAATTGAAAAAATGAGAGCACACACAACTGTAACTGTTTTCGCACTCATTGCTGCTGCCTGCTTGGGTAAATTGGACAAAAAAGAATATTTGAATGTTTAAAATAATATTTTTCTTGCCATATTCTTCCCTTACACAGGTAGTGCCCACTGTGGTATCTTAACGAAACTTGCTGACCCTCTGAAGCAAGCTGGCAACGTCGGCAATGCGCTGGGCGGTGCAAACCAAATACCCAGCCATGGCAATGACAGCGTAAGTCAAGGAAACGGCCAATCAGATGTGAATGAGATTTTGCCTGAATTGGAATCCCTAACGAATGTCATCAATCCTATATCTGGAGAACTTGGACTTCTTAAAAAATTGCTCTCCTTGCTCGGCGAACTGTTGTCGGCCATAAAACCTGGTAACTCTGGGGAAGATGGCGATGTTGAAGAATCAACTACATCTGCATCAACTGAGCAAGCTCCCCTCGACGAATCAACTGTCCCTGAGGTGGTGCCCAGCGAGTCAACTGAGCAAGCTCCACTCGACGAATCAACTGTTCCTGAGGTGGTGCCCAGCGAGTCAACTGAGCAAGCACCACTCGACGAATCAACAGCCTCTGAAGAGCCACTCGACGGATCAACTGCCCCTGAATGTGAGACAAACAACTCATCGCAAGAGTCGGCTTCGGACTCAATTGACGGAGCGGATTATATATCAACCTCGGCAGCTGAAGAGCCAACCGACTCGAGTGAAGATGAATCACATGAAGATGTGAGTTTGACTGATGTTGCAGCTGAGACAGGAAGTGAAGAACCAGTTGAAAATGTTGAATAATATTTTTTTAAATCTCTGCCAATGTCATTTATACTTTAATAAAGCAAATTATTTATCTGAAAAATATACAACATTGTATATATTTCAATAAAAGGTTACACAAGATCCGCAAAGATCCTCTGTTCCGTCAAAATTGAGCAGAGTTTCTTCGAGAAATTTACGCCAGAGTAAGAATTCAAGTAGGGCGATGCTCTAGGGTGTGATTTTGTATAAACAAAATGCTGGAAAAAATCTTACGACCTAAAGGAGCTAAACCCAGAAGGAACAGAACTTCTACTAAGATCTATGAAAGACTTGAAAATTTTCAATGTGGTGGCAGAGGAAGACCTTTACTTCATTACAGCGATGAAATGGTAAGAGATCTGTTTTCAGTTATCCTCTTTGCCAAAGAGCGCAAAGATTCGTTTGGCCTTTTTTTTGACTCAACTAGAAAATCCTCATGGTAAGCCAGGCAGATAAATGTAAATTCCATAACTTTATTTATCATAGCACATTTCCGGCATATGGACGTACATATGAACAGTTGAGGAGACGCTGAGTCTGTCTTTCAATCAACTCGAACACCTTGATATACTCAAAATTGTTATATTAGACTTTAAATGAAATTCGCAAAATATTTTCTTCTGAGAGAGCTATTGCTTTCACGTAGTATAACTCCTCTCTTTTTCAACAGAAAATTAATAACTTTTCTGCCGTACGCGAATGTAAAATTCTATATTTAAAGTTGCTTGGGGTCAGGGGTTTGAGTGACTCATAATATATGGAAGCAATAAATATAACATATAATAAAAAAAATATAACTAAAAAAAAAAAATAAAATAAAATAAAATAAAATAAAACAAAATAAAATAAAATAAAATAAAATAAAATAAAATAAAATAAAATAAAATAAAATAAAATAAAATAAATGTTGCAAATATAAAATAAAATTTAAATTGTTAAATGAAAGAAATAAAAACAAACCCAAAAAAAAATAATAAAGAAGTTAAAATAAGAAATGGTGGTATAAGGACAAGCTTAAATTAAAATAAAGGAAAATAATTCAGCACATAATGGATTAAAAAATAAACATAAATAAAGAAAATAATGTAAAAACAAAACACAATAAAATTACATAAATTTAATATATATTAAATAAATTGAAATAACTTAAATAACAAATTGGAGTCAAAGATAATTAAAAACAAATAGAAATTACAAAAAAGTAATATAAAATAAAAATATATAAAGTATGACGAAATATAGGAAATTAACTAGAGAAAAAAAAATTATTTAAATAAATAAATAAATTAAAATATAATTAAAGAAATGTTTATGATATAGTAGAGCAAAATTAGAAATCATACTAAAAAAATATACATATTAAATAGATTTAAATAAATTAAATCAAAAAAAATAATATAAGAAAAAAATTAAATAAATTAAATTAGGTTTCACACGAGAAGACTAGAGAATATCTGATTTAAGTAGCTTCAAAAACAATTAAAATGCTATTAAAGTTTGTATTTTGACCAAATAAAAGCACATTTATCGTAATAATATGATACAAAGTAACTTATTCAAAGCACTGTCCGTTGCTATCTGTACATTTTTCCCATCTTTCTGGCAATTTGTGGATACCGCGCTAAAAATGTCTATCATTTTGGTTGAAACATTGGAAATTTCATCGTTAAAACAGTTATCAAAATAAGTTTCTTATCGTTTTTATCCGAAACGAAAAACAGTCGTTAATGTTAAATCGTTAACAGTCAATGTTAAACGTTAAAATTACTGTACGCTGTTAATATCATAGTAAGCATCGATGAGTTTGGGCGCCTTTAATGTTAACGATTTGATTTCACTGCGATAACATAGCGCAGAAACGAAACGATTACATTTCGTTGAGTTAATGTTTTTGTCTTAACGAAACGAAATGGTGTCATTGCGTTTGTTGAGCATCTCTGCTATATACTATATCGGGAAGAGAGAGTTTCGAGAGAATGCTTTTGAAAGTTTGGTAGATAATAAAATCGGTGAAACTTTTAAAAATTCTATCGATGAGACTTTTATGAGAATTAAAAGAAAAATTCGGAGCATAAGTCATGCGGTCTCATCCAAACACAACCGGCTAATTTTGCGTGAATTCAAAAAAACATACATTATTCTAAAAATTAAAGGATTTTTAAGCGAAAAATAATTTCCAAATCATGCAGGCAAATCGAAATTTACGAAACTTTTAATTTTTCCAAACCCATGTATTTTTTTTTTTTTTTTTTTTTTGGGAATTGTACAATAATAAAGTAAAGAAGCAGTGAAGTGGGAAAGCAGCAGAGCGACGACACGGGAGAAAAATTAAGTACCAATGTGAATTAAGCAAATATTACTAGACTATAATAAATATGGTGGCGTTGTAGGTCTGACGCTTAAGAGGTCGCCGTAAGCGTCAGCAGCAACCACTAACGTAGACCGTCAACTCCTACTAAGCAGCGTAGAATGGCGTAGAGATTTCAAAAAAAAAAAACAAAACAAAAAAAAAAATTTTATTTATTTCAACTTAAAATTAACTCATGCAGCCTTCAGAGATTGAGTTCAAACTGTCTTAACAAAAAAATAATAAGAGAAAAAATTTATATTGTATTTTACAAGTGCATTTTGAATTAAATATTAATGACAATATGATAATACTTTTTAAATAAATATCAAAATGTCGAACAATACTTATTATTGCCATGGAAATTTTACAATGCAACCATTACAAATACATCGTTACTATTATATGTAGTTATGTATATTGGTTTCTTGTTGGTGCATGTATGTATATACATAGGTATATTTTGGTTCAGAAAGTTATATCTATAAAAGTACAGTATCGTGGCATTTTTCTGCAGAATTAAAAATAAATAAATAATAATAAAAACAAAACAAAGTTAAAGATTTTTCCAAATGCTGACAAAACTCCACAAAGAAAGTCTAATCTAGCGTGTAATTTCCGGCTAGAAAATATCGATCTCAGCATAAAATCTAGCAGTTGTTTGACTTAAACTTGAAGGTCCTTGAATTTATTGGCAAAAATATATAGGAGAAAAGAGAGAGCGAACTTCACTGAAGATCGCCTGGTGATTTTAAGGCAGAAATATTTAATATACACATATTATATATATATATATATATATATATATATATATATATATATATATATATATATATATATANATTTTATTTTATTTTATTTTATTTTATTTTATTTTATTTTATTTTATTTTATTTTATTTTATTTTATTTTATTTTATTTTATTTTATTTTATTTTATTTTATTTTATTTTATTTTATTTTATTTTATTTTATTTTATTTTATTTTATTTTATATATATATATATATATAACATTATAAATTAGGCGGTTTGCGCTTCAAAAAAAAATATTGAAATAAAAATTTTTGTTTCCCTAAAGAAGAAATAAAGAATAAAACAGGGAACCACCCTAAAGCATATAACCGTGAAAATATTTATAATATTTACACGTATATATAAGCATTAAAATGTACTATAAATCGACCACACACATTAAATAAACCAACGAAACTAGTTCAAGATATAAAAGGCCTCACAACCCGAAAAGAAGTCAACAGTACGCAGTGGAGCTTAACCACAGTTATACACGTCTTAAAAAAAAAAAAATAAATATATATATATAATATATATATTAAGTATATATAATAATATAGATATGAAAGCCTTCGTCGCAGTTTTTCTGTTGGGTCTGTTCTTCGTCGTTTGCGAAGGTGAGTCTGAAATACATATATGTATGTATGTATGTATATAAAATATTATAGGAACCAAGAATCTATCCCAAATTCTCATCTTTTTCTCGTTACCCAACAGCTAGCAGTGTTGATGTGAGTGATAGTGTTGAGAGTGCTGAGCCTGATGACTCACCTGAAGATTTGGATTCGGTAGAGTCAGGCGACGTTTCACTGGAGGATTTGCTCGCGGCGATTGATAGTGAGAGTGATGAAAGTGATGAAATTCCACGAACATAATAAATTGACAATTAATTAAATAACTTGGGTTTAACGTATTTTATTCAAAGATATGTATTGATTTGGAGATAATAAAAATGTACACTGGAATATTGTTTACAGTTGGTGGGCAGTTTGATGTTATCAACGGTGTTGGAGTATTTGGAGCTGAGCTTTCAATTAATATTACGTACAGGTTATAGTGTTGCTCAGCCGGTTTTGCTTTTGCTCAGCCAGGCTTTTCTGTTCAACTAAGATTTAATATTGAATTGGTGGTTCCTTCGTAGACTCAACAAATGCAACACACAGGAAGCATTTCTGGCGTAGTGAGCATGAGGAGGAAGAGTTCTGCTGTACAACTATCCGTCGCTCAACTGTCGTACATGGAACATTCTGGTATTGGACTAGCGTTTTGGGAATGACTTTTAAGCGTACACGCTTATCCAGGCAGCAAGGCGGGGAACTAACCGAAAGATGGATCAAACTTATCTTCACGGCTAGATTAAAACCCTGTTAAGAATCCTTTGTCAAAGTGTGAAGTTTGTGACAAAAGACGTTAAAGGTTTCGTGGGCGCGCTTACTAAGGCTACGAAAGTACTTTCCTGAAATCGCTTTGCCATACGACTGTGTATCCCAGTCCGATACCTCTATGAGCCCACATAACTCATGAGCTTAGTATTAATGCCCATTGGCAAGTTATGGCAACCGAAATTGAAGTCAAGACTTTACTTTACTGCTGTATTTACCGATTGTCTCGTGCCTTCTAAAGCCTTTTAATTATGTCTGCTGGGGAAAAGTGGGCCTTTTAGGAACATTGCAAGCGCAAAGTAAAGCGCGAACGGAACTAAACAAAATATATGTTAGTATCCTTGTTGGTTCCCCAATAACCAAATAACGAAAATAAGCAAGCATGGCGGGAATAATAGGGAAATTTATTGAATAAAATAAAAATATATGGTTGGTTTAAGCTGCTCCGTATAATGGGTTAATGCAATGATCAACCGCAGTTAGGTGATCAACAGCGGTTAGGCGCTCAACCTCCACTTACTCCCCGTCAGCCCAGCAAGCGTAGCTATCGTTAATATAATTTATGAAATAATTTAATATATTTGTTGGAATAAAATAAAGGAAAAGTCAATTTAATTGTAGTCACTTCATTTTTGTTATTTAATTTAATTTTATTCTAATTTCTTTTATTTAATTTTCCTTTAAATCAATTTAATTGAGTTTTATTTATTTCACTTAATTTTAATTTTAATTAATTATATTAAAAATTAATATTACTTTTCATTTATTCTCATTTTATTTGAGATTATTATTATTTCTTTTATTTTTGTTTAATATAAAATAGATTTAATATGCTCTTTTTTTAATTAAACTTTGTTTTGTTTTAAGTCGTTTCATTTGCTTTGCATTTATTTATTTTAGTTAAATTTTATTTCATATCTATTTTATTTAATTTTTTGTTTTATTTTTCAATTTATTTTTTATTTTTTACCCTATTTTAATTCAATTTATTTTTTATATTAATTTCAATTTATTATATTATTTATTATTATTTTTTGTTTTCATATTTTCAATTAATTATATTTACTTTTATTAATTTCTACTATTTAATGTAATTTAATTTTTTTACTGTGATATATTTTATTGTATTTTATTAATTCATTTTTTTTATTTGATCTTATTTTATTTAAGCTTGTGTTATTTAATTTTATTTAAGTTTCTTTTACTTTATTTTGCTTTATATATTTTACTTTACCTTATTATATTTTGCTTTATTTTACTTTACTTTAGTTTTCATTAAATAAACTTAATTTTAATTTTTTTTTTATATTATTTTGTTGATTTTTATCTCATTTTTTATTTTATTTTGTTCATGTCATTTTTTATTTTATTCTATAATTTTTTTAACTGCTTTTATTTTAATAATCTTTAATTATTAATTTTTTTCATTTTTATTTTTTTTTATTTATCTTGTTCATGTCTTTTCGTTTTAATTCATTTTATTGTTTTTCTTTTCATTTTATTAATTTTTACTTTGTACTAATATTTTTAATTTTAATTTAGTTATATATTTTACCATATTTGATTTCATTTATATTATTTGCTTTATTTTGTTTAGTTTTATTTTTTATTATTATTATTTTTTCTTGTTTTTATTTTAATATAACTTTTTAATTTATTATATATTTTTTTTAATTTTTTTATTTTCCTTGTTTTCGTTTTAGTATTTTTCTTTTTTCCTCCTATTTTATTCATTTCACGTAGTTTTACTTTATTTTATTTCACAATATCTTATTTCATTTAATTTTTCTTTAATATAATTAAAAATTATTTTATTTAAATATATTTAATGTTAATTAATTTAATTTATTGAATATTTTGTTATTTCTTTTTTTAGTTTATAATGTTTTTTCTTGTTTTAACTTTAATATTCTTTAATAAATTTAATTTGGTTTGATTATTTTAATTTTAATTTCTTTTCTTTTCTTTTCCTTTTAATTTATTTAATATATATTTATTTGAGTTGAGAATACTCAAAGAATACCAAGCCATGTACTCTGTACTCAACAGAGCCTATAATTATGCTTCGAAATCTTATATGAAACTTATTGGCAAGCAAACCAATACATTCATTGATATCACGGAATCATGCCATTTTGCCATTTTGCTAGTGTCAAACAGTGAAATGTTTTTTTTTTTAAGACTTTCTAGAATTTAGCGCTGGATTATTGCGTATTTCGAAGAAAAGTGCACCATATTTTAACTAATTTTTTAAATCCATTTCAGAGATGCCTTTATTTGGAAAGATATGAGATTTATTTTTTTTAATATGCTCATTTTAATTATAAGACCATGCATTAATACCAAAAGAATATTATGACTTATCCCACAGGTATTTGGGACGAAGGAATAATATTAAATTTAATTTATTGGTCTCTTAAATGAAACTGTTAAAACCCAGCCTAAGCTTTCTTCTTTCTATTGCCATACAATAAGGAAATACTTAATTATTTTTATTAAACATTTTCAAATAATTCCCTTTCTAATTTCGCTATGATAATTTTTAGGGTTCAATTCGTTGTTGTTGGTCATCAATTTAATAAAAAATCACACACAATATATTTCTTTCGTATTGGTTAATTACATTTTGGAATACTCGTGTGTATTTATATTTAAACAGTTGTCTATGAAAAACACTTTACCTACATCGCTTTCTAACAGAGAACGCCTGTTAATCAAATAAACCATTAACTGAAAGACACGTGCGAAATAAGGTTTTTCTTAGCGTGGAAATTAAGTTCTCTTGAACTCGTCTTCCTTTAATTGAGTAAATGCCGGAAAGGTTCTGTAACTCGCTCACAGATACTGTATGCGTAGAATAATAAATAAAAAATAATTTAATAATCTGGTGTGGGCAAAAGATCTGTGAAGATGTAAATAAAATAACACAAGATGAAATAAAAATAAATAAAAAAAAAATAAAAAAAAAATAAATAAAATAAAATAAAATAAAAAAAAATAAAATAAAATAAAATAAAATAAAATAAAATAAAATAAAATAAAATAAAATTAATTAAAATAAAATAAATTAAAATAAGTATAAATTTAGGGTCCCCCTATTTGTTGGAAAAACATGGAATTGGAGGAGGAGTTCGGCCGAAAATCGCTTCAGCTCCCCCAACACTTCTTCAAACAAGACCCATCTTCTGGTTAGTTAGAAGTTTGCATGTCTCTGACGTACTCGGCTGAAGAGTAATTCACTTATTCTTTCACTTTTAACATAATAATACAATATACTTTTGTATTAACAGTTGTTTCATAATTGCACTTCTAAATAAATACTATACACATTATTTATTTCCTAAGACTTTGATGATGTTATATTTTTGGTATATAAAGGCGGTAAATTCATAATGTCTTCAGCAATCAATTAAGAAAAATGAAATTTTTTACGGTTCTTTTACTTCTCGCCTTGGCAGTGGTCCTTGTCAATGGTATATTCTATTGATGTGATTCACTTTGTGTAAATGTATATTTGAAATGTGCATTCTAATTTTATATGAATAGGACAACGAGGTTTCGGCAGTCGACGTGGACGATTCGGAAGAAGATTTGGTGGGCGTAGAGGTTTTGGTGGCATCCGTGGATTTGGTGGACGTAGAGGTTTTGGTGGACCTGGATTTGGTGGACGTAGTGGATTTGGTGGACGTGGATTTGGTGGATTCCAAGGATTTGGTTTTTCGGGAGGTTGCCGTTTTCGCCCAGTACCTGTTAGCCCATCAACACCAGCCGCTCCAGTAGCCCCTACACCGGCCGCTCCAGCAGCACCTAGCGCTCCTGCAGCTCCTGTCGCTCCAGCAGCACCTAGCGCTCCTGCAGCTCCTGCCGCTCCGGCTGCTCCTGCAGCTCCTGTCGCTCCAGCTGCACCTAGCGCTCCTGTCGCTCCAGCAGCACCTAGCGCTCCTGCAGCTCCTGCCGCTCCGGCTGCACCTAGCGCTCCAGCTGCACCAGCTTCCCCACCAGCAGCTCCGGCACCGGTTGCACCAGCCGCACCTGTTGCCCCATAGACATTTTTTTTAAGGATATTGATTGTTTGCTGGCCAAAACTATAAATAAAGAATATGTACTTCTGTGAATTATAGACGAAGACTTTTCAGTAGGTTCTTAGTTCTCAGTGCGTTGACGATGTATTCGGTAGAAGGAAGAAACCTTGATTTTTTCTTTTTCCTTGTTTAAAGATTTTGTCATAGAAGACAATTTACGAAATGTCAAAAGAATAATATCACCCAGGTCACGGTCACACGGGTGCATAGGTTGACGAGCTGGCTTGTATGGGCGAGGATGTCACCAGATACTGCGGCCACTTGCCCTGAATTTGCCTTTTACCCAACCCAACCGACCCAACACCAAGAGAGTTTGTCAAATTTCTTGTTATTCTTACCTAGTAGCGCAAAGATCAGGTGCGGGGAGCTGACGTCCACTTTTTTATATTAAATCGACAGCTTGCGTTAATGGTCTCTTCTACCGTAGAGTAGAAGTATTCCCTCCATAAGTCTGTGCATCCATCACTAGATCACCCCTCTGGGTCCTACACGAGCTTGAACCAGTCTTGAATCCTTCCGTAAGCCTCCGTATTTTTTGTATTTTTTTCGAGCACTCGAGCTGGCCGACTAGCTTATCAAGCTCTTCATAGTCAATCATTTCGACTTCTTCCTTTTTTTGTCTGCAAATATGTCTTGCTGCCTTCTTGAGCTCTCGGTATCGATCCCACCCTGAGTTTTTCGTTCAGGGAATCGCAATGTAGCTAAACAATTTTGCTTTGATGCGTATTGTGGCTAGACGTTCTTCCATCGGAGTGAATGCCAGTACTCGACGACGGAGTCTCTCTTCCACCCCATTCCGACACCGAATATGCGCTCGTTTACTCGTATATGGCCGCTGTAATATATTTCAAAAGGAGTCACCTTCTTCCGTCCTTGTCCCGTCCATCGCCCTTCATGTACGGCGTTGATGTCAGCCTTTAATTTTAATAGAACATCTACCCGCTGGGCAGAGGCACCTTTCCAATTAAGGGACCAGACATACCAGGTGAATGCTCGCAATTCGTAATCCTTCGAACATTTGCGGGGAACGTCGTCAAAAGAGGTTTCTCCCATCCGAGTCTTTTTTTTTTATTTTTCATTGAAGTCTGGATTTCATGTGGTGTGTCCCTAAACCTCCCCACAACCGCATGGGACTTGACTTTTCACTTTATCTTGTGACCAAACGGTTGATTGTGTCGTGAGCTGCTTGAACCATATGCAAAATATTTGTTTCTGGTCACTCTCCATGTGAATGACAGTAACAAATTTTCCTCTCCTGCGTGAACCTCTACACATGGCTCTATAAAACTATTGGAATCCGCTCCCTGCTGAACTAGATCCGCTCTTTCCGCCAACCCCTGCTTCGACGCATCTTCCTCTTTGAACAAACACACAACTGGCTCGTCCGCTGTTTTGTCAATATTTTTAGAAGCTCTTACGTCGGTGAGCAGTTTATGTCGTAATTCCGTTATTTTTTGTTTGCACTTTCTACAACTCACATACGCGAAAATGTCTTGTACTCACAGTGGATTCGATAACCCAGTTTATTATTTGCCAACACTAAAACTAATTTAGTTTGAACCTTCGAAGCTTCGGTATATAAGGGCGGTGAATCCATAGTGTCTTCAGCAATTAGCAAAAGTTCACCAATTTGGAAAAAATGAAATTTTATACGGTACTTTTACTCATTGCCTACGCAGTGGTCCTTGTTAATGGTGCGTTATATTGAAAAACATTATAAATGGATTTTAATCTTTTTTTTTTTCTCTTATTATTCTAGGACATGAATACGGCGGATTCCATGGATCACCTCAATTTAGAGGTGCACTTGGATTTAGTGGACGACGGGGTTTTAGAGGACCTCCAAGCTTTGGTAGACCACCATTTCGACAAGAGTTTGAACTACCTCCATTTGCAAAGCGACCTTTAGGTCCTCTACCAATTGATAGACCGTCTTTTGGGCTACCGCCATCTAATATACCGCTATTTGGTAAACCATCATTTGGTTTTCCTCCATTTGATATTCCTCCATTCGGACGTCCTCCGTTCGGACGTCCTCCATTCGGACGTCCTCCATTCGGTCATGGTGGTAATGGTTGTCGACCAAAGCCTCCTCCATGCAAGCCAGCACCATCAACTGATGCTCCAGCAACTGCTGCACCAACAGTGGTTCCGTCATCAGTTGCTCCTTCAACTGTTGCCCCAGCGGCTCAGTCCTCAGTTGCTCCAGCAACTGAAGCTCCATCAACAGCGGCTCCGTCATCACTTGCTCCAGCAAGTGCCGCCCCATCAGCCGTGGTTCCGTCAACAGCTGCTTCAGCCACTGCAGTTCCAGAGGCTCCGTCATCAGTTGCTCCAGCGACTGCTGCACCATCAACCGTGGTTCCGTCAACAGCTGCTCCAGCAACTGAAGCTCCATCAACAGCTGCCCCAACGGCTCCGTCATCAGATGCCCCAGCAACTGAAGCTGCATCAACAGCTGCCCCAGCGGCTCCGTCATCAGATGCCCCAGCAACTGAAGCTCCATCAACAGCTGCCCCAGCGGCTCTGTCATCAGATGCTCCAGCAACTGAAGCTCCATCAACAGCTGCTCCAGCGACTGGTGCACCGTAGAAATAGTTGAATGGTTGAAATGAATACCAAACTTGTTTCTTGTTTTTATAAATCCCCTTACCACTAAGATGTATTTGAATGATCTTAGCAGCGCTAACTGTTTTATCTTTTCTTTGGAAATTCTTAGGAAAAAATAGATTAAGTTTTAGAGACATTTATTCTTAAAATCATTGACATTAATTTTTTTTTAAATAAATTTACAAGCGAAAAATATTTCAAATTTAATTTGGAAAAGGTTAATCATAAATATTATTTCGACCTTCTCGGGCCTGCTCTTGTATGATTGTTCAGCAGCTTTGGCTAAATAAATTTTATGTTGATGTATTATTAATAGGTACTGTTAAAGTGCCATTTGCTACACTGTTAGATGTTGAGTTCTGCCCAACAGGAATTCCTGGGCCAGGTGCATCCTGTGCGCTTTCTTTACCGCCGTCTTTTTTGGATGGATGTGGTTCGGCTGGACCCCTTCCTTGACGTCCATTATCTTTTGGTTTTTCTTTGCGTCCTAACTCCTCTTTATCCTCTGGAGGTCCACGTCCGTTTCGTTCCTTTCGTCCTTTAAGTATTTAAGTAAATATGAATCACTGCGAATTTCGGGATTTTCGTAAACTTACCATCGATCAGGACCACTGCCAAAGCGATAACGAATAAAATTGTGAAGGTTTTCATGTTTTCAAAGCGACGTACGTTTGTGATTTGCTGTCTTTACCAACGTTCCGCGGCCTTTTTATACGATAAATGGGACGGAGTTTTATCTGGTTTGAAATTGAAATATCTGTGGCAATATTTACATTATTGCACATGCACACAACTGTCTCGATTCGAAAATATGTCAATATTAATATTTGTATGCACAATTGGCAAAGTTTCCAACGAGGGGACTTGAATGATGGGCACCATTCCGATTCCAGTAATTGATTCGAGGCTTCAGGGAAATCTTACTGCGGCTGCCAGCAGACGTCGGTCTTCAGGCAAGCGGTTGCGCTCCAGGCCAGGTACCCGCTATGTAAAAACTAGCTCTTATGAATATACAATATTAAGCCAGCTTCGGCAGAACAAACATATAAGAGATTACGCTTTGAGAGTATGCACTTGGCATGTCCCATGTCTTGGCTTAGAAGGTACTACTGCTCAGCTGGTTGATGTCTTAACTAAAATTAAGGTCACCACCTTCGCTGAAACGCTATGGACGGCACAACGTCGGTTCTTGTGAATTGTGGTATGAGTGTGGCCTCAAGGTAGACTCATCTACGTGCAGTGCACACGTCACGCAGATCAAAATTGTACTTGGCGAGTGTAACGCCAGGGTGGGCCAAGAGACTATCTTTGGCGAAAAAAACCGTAACGAAGTGTTGCTTTAAATGGGCTACGGCAGATCAACTACGCTGCGATCCGAAGTATGTTTATTTGTAGAAAATTCCATCAAGATTTGGGCATTAAGTTACATGGCTGTCAGCGGATTGAAGTGCTCGTAACCAAAGACATATCTCAAGTAGATATGGCAGGTCAAAAAATCAACTCGGACCACTATCTCCGCGCAACCAAGATACGCAGCCGCCTCAGATGGCTGTAAGAGGAGCAGTAAGATGTAAATTCAAGCCCCCCCCTAAGTACAGTCGCCAACGATAGTTGGATAGGTTGCTATACAGCAGTGGAGAGTACAAAATGTCTGTCTTTCTCCGAGTATCTGCGCACGGTAGAGATACAGTTAATTGCAGAGGAAAGCTAAACGCATTTGTGGACCGAAAGAATAGAGTTCTAGTATGAAGAGCTTGATAAGCTTATAAAGGACGTGGGCGTCCAGGACATATAGGTTCAAATTGTGGGCAGGGAAGTCAGTGTGGTGAGAATGAAGCTAATAACAAAGCTCACGGACCACAAGGCGGAAAGGGAGGAAGAGTTAGTATAGATGAATGAAGCTCAGAGGAACGGAACTGTTCAGAAAGTACCAATTTTTCGCATCTAACATCCGGAAATATTGTAATATCGCGCTAGCTGCCCCGTTTATAAGGCCAGCGAGTCGGTGAACAAGAATATCGCAGCGCCCATAGGGGACTATGGCGAAGATCAAGTAGTAATTGTCTGTCTAAAACACAGAGCAACATGAGCCGCTGACTTACTAGCTGATCTTTTCGAACATGGCGGGCATCAGCTCTAGAAGCGAGGTTTAATCAGATGATGACTCTCTGACCATACACGCTAAGAAAGTATACAAGAGGAATAAGACCTATCAAGCGCACGGAGTGAAAGAGTAAAACCCAGAGTTAACGTACACAATGAAACTTTTCAAAGAGCAGTAAGAAAACTATTGACACCTAACACCTTTTCAGGGATTTCAAAGCAGCTTTGGACAGCTTGAAGAAGAGCCATCTCTACGTCGTTATGACCCCTAACCCGCAAAACTTATAATACGGCTGTGTAAACTGGCTGTAAGCAACAACAAAAACTCTGCCTGGTTCGGTTGTACGATACCAAATAAGATTGCAGACCTGGTGGGATTGGAAGGGAAACATCCACTATGAGCTGCTCCCATATGGCCAGACGCTTAATTCTACCATCTACTGCGAACAACTGGAGCGCTTGAAGCAGGCGATCGACCAGAAGCGTCCAGAATTGGCCAACAGGAAGGGTGTAGTATTCCACCAGGACAACGCCAGACCACACACTTCGTTGATGTCGTTGATGTCAGAAGCTACGGGAGCTCGGATGGAAGGTTTTATCGCATCCACCATATAGCCCGGACGTAGCGCCAAGTGATTACCACCTGTTCCTGTCCATGGCGTATGCCCTTGGTGGTGTGAAGTTGAACTCAAAAGAGGCTTGTGAAAAGTGGCTGTCCGAGTTCTACGCAAATAAGGAGGGGGGCTTCTTCGAGGAAGGTATTATGAAGTTGCCGTCTAGATGGAAACAGATCATCGAACAAAATGGCGCATATTTTAACTAAATCCGATCACTGTAACACTTTTTAAAAAGCCGTTATTTATTTATTAAACCAATATTGATTTTCTGCAGGTTTTCTTGAAAGTTGCACTGCCAGATACAGCTGCGCATGTGCACAAATGTAAATAAGGCGCTTTGTAACACATACAACAAACAACAAAATATTTCCATCTATTAATAAACGAAATTTATTTTCACACAACACACGAGTATGTACATATATAAGGTCTAAAATGCGAAAATGTCGTCAGTCAGCGAGAATTTTCAAACGAATCTTTCTTTGAAATCATGAAATTCTTTCACATTTACCGCGTTATCATTTCACTTGCATTTGTTGTTAACGGTAAGTTACTGAAGCAGTTGTATTGTATTTTCTTTATGAACTTACGAAACGTTTACAGGCGCACCGAGTCCATGCTTTTGGGATAGAGCAGGTAAAGCGAATGTACTAGTAAGGGCCGATTCTGAAAATTGTGCAACAACAACAATTATGAGGATGGAACTACTAGATAGAAAACATAAATAGATAGTAATGAGAGCGACGATATTGTAGGTGATGGATGACGGTTTACGGATGACGGATGCGGTACCAAACAAAAAACTCTGCAATTCAATTATATTTTCCACATTCTCATTATTTTTAAAGAAATTTTATTTTTATGGCGCTTATACTAGTGAATAAATTATATTTATTTGAACAACTGCAAACCTCAGAAGCTGAGGAGACCCGACCATCAGTGTACACGACAACTCACATAGAGTTTGAGTTGTTTTGATGAAATTTAGTACAAAGGTTTTTTAGATCACAGAAGCACGCACTGCATTGCAAATGGTTGAAAATCGGGTCGAAATTCATGCTCACTTACCATCTAACGGTAAATTTGAAATGTGCCAAAATCAGCTTAATACATTAGCTAAATGACGGTCGCTATAGCCGAGTAGTTTGCATGGCATACTAACATTTGGAAGGCCAAAGTACGGTTGCCGGTCCGACCCACATTTAAAACTACCGCAATCTGTAGGCGCAGGTCGCTCGAAAATCACTTCAGCGCCAATTATAAAAGTTGGTTTCTTTTAGACATTTGGTTTTGTTGCAGGTACTCAGCTTTATTATGCTTTAAAAATGCCTTTTGAACAAGTGACCGGCGCTGAGCCCAGTTTCGACCACTTTTTCGACCACTTTTTCGACCACTTTTGGATCAACTATGATGCGCCGAATATTCCCTTCCAAAGCGTCAATCGTCTCGGGCTAGTTTGCGTAGATAAAGAGACTTCATATAACCTTTTGCTTTTGCTTAAAACACGAAAGTGTGGCAACTCACGCAAAGTAGACTGCTTTGCTATCACTGCTCGTTGTCGTTTGGTGTTTTTGTTTCTTTACCAGTTTCTTCTTCTTTTTCATTAATAGTTCCTTGCTCGCCACCTTGACCACTATTTTTGATACCAATACCAACTCTACAGCCTTGTCCGCCACTTTAATTTCAAAGACTTTGTCCTCCTTGAGCACCAGCTAGATCGTCTTGTTCGCCGCTTTGTGCTCCTTGAACACCAGCTGGTCCGTCTTTTCCGCCGCTTTGATTTCAAAGACCATTGCTTTGCCCTACATTTTGACTTTTACCTCCTTGAGCAGCAGCTAGATCGTCTTGTTCGCCACTTTGGCCTCCTTGAGCACCAGCTAGATCGTCTTGTTCACCGCTTTGTGCTCCTTGAACACCAGCTGGTCCGTCTTTTCCGCCGCTTTGACCTCCTTGACCTTCAGCTTAGTTTCCTTGACTGTCTCCTGGCCCCTGCTGGCTTGTAAATACTTGGCGTTCGTGTATATTAACGTATTACCGTTAACTAAGACAACAGCTAAAGCCGTAACGAATATAACGGAAAATAATTTCATCTTACTTTTGTAAACTTCTGACTCAGCATTGGCAATCAGTCTATTTTATAGCGAAAAAAAACGTAAAACTTGTAAATTCTTATCAGCGCAATTTGTTATTGTTATTGTTTTATAGAAGACAAGCTAAAGGCAAACAAAAACCATTAGAAACTTGTGCAGACGTCTAAAAGCAAATTTGCTAACCCTCTGTGACGCTATTTGGGCTGTGAGGAAACTTATCGTAACGAAACAGGCAATAGACAACCGATCGTCAACGAACTACATCATCAGATGTCTTGGCTGTGTGATGAACCACAAAATTGGAGTGCGCTCTATAGGAACTTATTATTTCAATAATCGGAGAACTTGCTCTGCGTAAGAGAAACGATCTCAATGCGGAAAAAGCGCACACAGCTTCACCCCTACGTAATCTGCTCTCTGTAGATCGGTTTCGGTTTCAGCAGAAGGTCGCTCGCAGCGGAGCTTTATCACGTGGACGTCAGAACTTCTGAAAACAATTTCGGTACTTTTTAATCCATATTTAAACGTGTCTTTTGTTCTTAGAAAGAGTATTTGACAAGTTTTTGCGCAAAAAAGCTAAGACAACAAATTTAGTATAAAAAGGTTATGTTTCTCATGCCGAGCTAGCAGTTTTGTTTAGAAAATATGAAATTCATTAGCACGTTATTATTTGTTATCGCGTTTGTAGCGACCTTAAGCGAAGGTAAGACTTTACCGACTTCAAAGCTAATGAGTATTTCTTGAAAACCAATTAAAATCGCTATAAATTAGGACAAAGTCCAGGTGTTGCACCAATTGTGGAATCCAAACCACCAAAAGGTGCACTGCTTGGATCACAAGTGGGAGTCGGAGGATCAAGTGATAATGGTGAAGCACTAGATAATGGAACGAATGATGAAAGTGACGGACAAGATAGTGTAGCGGGATTACCACAAGGTGAAGCCGGTAGCCAAGGTGATGATAGTGAAGAACCCGATGCAGAAGCAGCTAGTAATGATGAAAGTGAAGAACAACATGGTGACTTTAGACTACCAAAAAATGAACCGAGCACATCAGTTAACGGATCAGATGAAGATGATGATGAAGAAAATGGTGAAGCAGATAATGAAGATGAATTAGTGCTTGAAGAGATAGATGTAGAAGGATCCGGCGATGATGCAACAAATGCAATTGATGAAGAAGCAGATTTTGAAGGTCTCGAATTACCAGATGCAGAAGGATTCGGTGATGATGAAAGTGAAGGACAATATGGTGACTTTAGATTACCAAAAGATGTACAAAGAGCAGCAGTTAGCGCATCAAACGAAGTCGCTGAAGAACAGATTGGAGACGAAGAACCAGTTAAAGACAGCGAAAGTCCAAGAGAGGAATCAAATGTTGATAATGAACTTTAAAATGGATGTAAAGGAATTTTCGGATTTCAATTAATGCATGGACAAGACGCAGAAGCTCAAACAAATTATTATTTTCTACTTCTTCACATAGACTAGCATAATCATTTCTATTGTTCCGGTTTACTTTTGTCGCATAAAGTAATAAAAAAACATATTAAATTTGTATCGAATTTAATAAAATTAATTTGTTTTTTAAACATCAGATGTACAACTTTGTTTCCGCCGTTTTTTTTTTCCAAAACTAAAAGCTTTATTGCGTAAAAGTGCTTACAGATATATTATTCAAAGTATTGTCCTTTGTTAGCGACAACTTTTTCCCATTTTTCCGACAATTTTCGGATCCCGGCTCGAAAAAGGAGTCCTCTTTTGACGCTATCCATGAAGCAATCCATTTTTCCAATTCATCGAAGGATTGAAAATGTTGATCTGTCAGGCCGTGTGCCATGGAAGTCCGAAGGGGCGACATCTGGGGAACACGGCGGGTGGGGCAAGACTTCCAATTCAGCGTTTCCAAGTACCTTTTGACCACTTTTGCGACGTGAGGTCGAGCATTGTCGCGTTGGAGGATGACTTTGTCATGTCGCTCTTGATATTGTGGCCGCTTTTCTTTTAGCGCGCGACTAAGGCGCATCAGTTGCATTTGGTAGCGATCACCCGGTTTTAAGACCTCGTAGTAAATCACACCGAGCTGATCCCACCAAATACAAATCATAACCACCATGTTTGTCTTCGACATCGAAATCACCATTTTTGAAACGTTGAAAACATAGATAGATTTAAAAATCTTTCATTGCCAAAGCGAAATGAGTAATTGCAATTAAGTTTTCAAAAAAGTTGGCAACTCTTTAATTTTTGATAAAATAAATTATTTAAATATGAGTATTTTTTTCTTAATTGTTCTTTTGCTTTCCAAAATAAAATCAATACGTCATTTATTTTAAATATATATTTTATTTTATTTAAACTTTTAAACTGATGGCAATCCTGCCCAAAAATATTTTCCATCAAACGCTGCCTTAATGCAATTGGCAAATGACATTTGTTGTTGCTGCTCGCCATTTCACTATAATTAAAAAAATAAGAGCTGCATTCGACCAAGCCGAAGTCTTTATACCGCTCATTTCCATATCAAATATTTACATAAACATATGTACATATACTAATTCTCATGTGGTGACTATACACGTATGTATAGTTAAATTTTCATAATTTTTAGCATCAGCGTGTTATTCATTATTCTCTTAAGTGCTTTTCGAACAAATTTGTTACACAATATCTCAAATTTGAAAAATCTTGCCTTTGTTGAGAAGCCTCAACATGTCGGTTAATGAGCAAGTACCGCTGCCTTTGTACAAATGGCTGCCGCTGTTTGCCTTGCAGTAGTAGTTCATGGCTGTTGACACATTTTCTCCACACACTTCGAATTGTGTGGCCCCCTACGACGGCAATGGCGACTTCATATCGTTGTTTCACTTATGCATGTATGTATATACATACGAGTATGTACTTAATGGCTGCCCACAAAAAATAGTCCAACAAAGTCAAATCGCTGCTGCGCGTTGGCCAGTTGACTAACGCAGTGGATGCCCGATTTTCGTGCGTAATTTTCTTGTTGTTGCGCTTGAAGATTCACTACTTTTGGTTGTAAGTTTTCAATATTTCACAAATTTCAAGCGTAAACTAAACAATTTCGCAAACTGCGCACTTTCTTCTACTAACTATTTGACACATTCTGAATGTCATTGCAGATGTCGCCGGGCAAATAAGGTGTAGTTCAAACAGCAAACGTTAGGTGACACTCGCCAGGGTGGGGGCAGGAGGAATTTTTATTTATAAAATTATATTTTTAAACCACCAAACATTTTTGTTTGGAGTTTTTCTGATCGTGGTTGTTTGCCTTCATTTTTTTATTTCCTATTAAGAAAAATATGTTTATTTAGGTGAAAATTTTTTTTTTCATTTATTCCATTTTAAACTGTCTCAATTCTGTTTATATTGGTATTTGTATTGTATTGACATTTTTTTCTTATTCTTTTTATGTGTAGCTATACACTGGCATAAATTTTTATTTCCTATTAAGACATAAGCCGCAAGCGAGTATAACAACTAAATAGATCAAGGCGTTTAGTACAGGGTGCGCTATCTGCTCCATTTAGTTATGTTATGTGTTTTCCCATAATTTTAAAATAAATATTCAGCAGAGCTGCTCCTCCAATTTGTGGTATTTCGATGGTTTTCCCATAAATATGGAGGGACTTTCAGTCTAAATTAATATATTTTAAAGCCGACTGCGTACGATTGTTTCGGAAAGTGAACCAGGAACAGATTTGTTTGAAACAAATCCTGGAAATCAACCAGGGACCCGGAACCAAGCTCGATTTGCTCCAAAAATAAATAATAATTTTTCTTTACGGGAAAATATAAATACTTTTGTTAAATATAAATATTACAAAATTGTTCATATTTTCATTTTATCATTCTTGTTGTGCTCTTTCCGGAGACAAAAAGAAATTTCTTTATGCTCTCTCTTAAGATAATGAAGATTACTCGCTCTGCCCTCGTTTGGAAAGTCAAAGAGAGCTTCAATGATGATCACTCACTCACTTGCACTCGATTCGGAGTTAAAAAGGAGCGATCGTCCACTAGGCCACACCATGTTAAAGTTTTTTTTATTTCATATTAGAAATACACTCGGAAGGCTTATCCTTCTTTACTCAGGGACAGCCGCAGTTAGTAATATAAACTTTCTATAATTTGAGATTTTTGGTTCGAATATTACACGACTATTGCTGTCGCCGACCTTATTTACGCCAACGAAATGAGCTGTTGAGTCAAAGCTGAAGATCTGGTTGGTCAGACGTCCGGGCAGCCAAATTTAGCCTACACCGCCGGAAATACATTTCTAGTGACTATTTCGTTTTGTTTGGAAACAAAAAACATGAATGTAGATGAATACATAAGCCCTTAATCTAATATATATGTACATACATACAATAATAAAAATAATGTGGGAAAAATAGCGGTACCTAAGTATTTTTTTCAACGAAAGTACATTAAAAGGTTAATAATTATACATGTTCTGGCTATGCCATAGAATTGGTTTCCCTCTTGTATATCCAGTGCTTGTCAAACTGTCAACACAAACGAAAAAAGCACTAAAAATATACAATGAATTTTAAGTGAGCAGGCGATTTAAACACTTGGGTTGTCGCTTCAGCTGTTTTTTTTTGTTCTTTTCAAAAATTTAAAAAATTTTTTATTTCAACGGCATTTTCATCACATATTTATTTTTTTTACCGCCAATATCAATATTTTTTGTAGTCAATTGACACTGGACGATTAACTATCCAAGTACTTTTGCTTCTTAAGCGCTTATAACCGAGCAAACAATAGCACGCTCTGCACCTTTCGCCGTCATTGGAAACAACAAGCGAAATCAAGGTATTTTCCATTAGATTCTTCCAACGCAGTAAAGGTCCAGCCACCACTTGCCGATACTGCATCGAATACTTTTAAATCTGGATCTATTCGAACCACATGACCCAGCCAGAGTAGCCGCTTTCTTTAAATTCGCTGAACTATATTAATGGCACATGCATGGTGGGTGATTTCCTATACCCAAAGCCACATTGTTACGGTCCGAATTAGCTCGCCGATGATGAAATTTCGTCCTTCACACAATACGCTCCATATATATATATGTCTTCTAGAGGAGGCTCACTTATGATAACTCGTTGTGGGATGGCGTTTTTTGTGAATCAACCGAATTTCGCAAAGAAAACGATATGTGCCCTTTATATATTCAGGACAAACGTTATTCCAAAATCATCGGATATTGAACGCTCTATACCATACTCATCACATTCAACGTCAGTTTTCTTCATGGCTGCGATTAATCTGGGTGCAAAGGTGTTAGCTTCATCTACTCAGTAGTTCTTAGTTTTAGTCACCAGATCGCTTTTCTTCTGCTTTCCTGTTTTTCAGACGAGCAATTGCTATTCAATTTTGTCGTAGTCGGGTGATGGGATACCCTTTTACTCCAGTTCGAAATTTCGAATATACTGAATATCAGCGGGCAGATCATTTCCTCGGGTCGTGACGTAAGTGTTAATATCTCTCGATTCACTGGAAAAAATAACGGATTAAGTCGGTCAAGAAAAAAAAACCATGAGAGCTGCCCCTCTCAATCCTTCTGACGTCAGTATAGATCATCAGTGTCGTGTCGTAGCCTATATGTGTTGGCAGCTTCAGCCATTGCGCAGCGTGTAAATATAACTTGTTGCTAGCGTCACCTGGCGGATATTTACTTTCTTCTACCCCATACCATTGTACCACAATTATTCATATTTGGCAAACTTTTAAAAAGATAATTAAGAAATAAATGATTTGTTTAGTCAGCCTGCATTACTATGACGGCAATAAAAGACGTTAAACATAATAAAGTAAATATAAAAAATATTAAAATAGGAAGGTACATGCACATACGTTATCTAAATTTGCGTATGTGCATGAGTATTTGCACATATTTATTTATTAAAAAAAAAAAAAAAAAAAAATATTGTATAACACTTGCCAACTGCGTGTTATGGAGGATATTTATTAAGTAGTCTGTTCTGTATGAATAATATTCAAGAAAAGTGAAAAAGTTAGAAATTTTATTTAAATAAATTTATTTTTTCTTCTATGATATATTTTAAATATTTTTTTTTTTTAATTAAAAACCCACTTGTTTGTATTTAAAAGAAAAATATTTAACATTCATAATGCTCACACAGTTATTAACAAATAACTTTTTCTTTATTTAATTACATAATAGGCGGATGTGCATATAAATATATATATATAAATCCTTATCTAAATAAAAAAATATTGACGGATATGTTGTGGAAAAATAACATTAACCCTTTTCATATTCGCTTTTGCCGCGTTGCCAATTTTACAACTAAAAATCTTTGATTTTCCTCACGTCAGTTGTAATTCACGGCTATAAATGACCTTCCATTATTGCATTTTAATTTTTTCAATTTTTATAATAAATTATTTAAAAAGTATTATACCTTATTTATAAGAAATTATCTAACTCGTTCT